TAAAATCTTGGAAGTACCTTTCGATTAGTTATCTTTTAAATTTGAAATAAAACTGACATGTAGTTTTAAAATCATATCAATGATAGCGTCAAAAGTTTTGTTACAGAAATACTACAACAGTGGTACGCGAAGCTTTACAAAGAGCTGGTACTGCACAGGAAGTGGCTAAAGATGCAATAAAGAATGCAACGGAGCAAATTACGGAAGCTTCGGTTTGGTTTTTTTTTTTTTTTTCTTTTTCAGATTTTGTTTCTTTGAATCTTTTATGTTACAATGTCAGCTATTAAATGCGCATTTTTTTCAATCTTGAATGAGTTGCTATGTGATTTAGGGATGACTTGAATAGTGCAACCAGTCAGTTACAACTTGCTGAGATATCGGCTGCAAAAACAAATGAATCATTAATAAAATTGGAGGGCGATATGAAAGACATTAATGTGCAGTATTTATCGATATCCGAAGATACGAAGTATGCATACGAAGCTGCTGATAAAGCTATACGTCAGGCAGAATTTGCTGAAGTAGCCAACGAGCAACTCGAAGTAATCTTTTATTTTAGAAATCCTGGTAGAATTTGTGAATTCAGTTTACTCTGCGAAATGAATGAAGCATGATTTTATGGAAACGATAGAGGAATGTTCTTCCCATTGCTTGAAATAAGGATTATATTGCCAAAGGATCAATATCAACGAAGACATAATCCAGATTGAAACGCTGCAATAAATGATTTGTTATTTATTGCTTGCTAACAATTATAGAAACTATATGCGAAATTATATAAATGTAACGTATACTACGTTTTATCGTGAGTTTAACTTACTCATTTTATATATTGGTCATTTTCAGATTTCGTTTGAAAAAGCTAAAGAGCTTCTGTCATCGCAAAATACTGGTAATGAATTACCTCAAGCGAGAGCTGAAGAATTGCGTAAACGGGCAACACAACTTTTGCATAAGACACAACGACATCGTAGCGATATTTCACGTATGTTGCTTTGATTAACCTATTTTGTTTATTTTATGCCTTATATTGAAGTGCAACAGTCACTTATTTGTGCTAACTTTCAATTGTGCAAATTAAATTCCTTGTATAGTTTATGCAAAATGAATCTGGTGATCCTCTTTATTTTATAGAGCTTTCCGCTAACATGGATGCATTTGACGTACGCTTAGCAGATTACAATCGTGAATTGAGTGAGCTTCATTCAAGGATCGATACAGTTACTGCTCAGGTACATAAGCAAATCGAGTATTACTCAACATGCGACATTTAGATGCACCGAGTTATAACCATATTTATCTCTTATCGTTTTGTTTGTTTCGGTCCTCATATTGGAAAACAGTGGCGACTTATCAATTTTTAACCCATAGAAGTGATAAAATCAAAAAAGAAAAATCCCAAAGCTTTTAGCCAGTTAATCTTTTTCAACTTTGTGTTAATGCTGACTATGCACTGATACAATGCACAATTGTCTGATACTACAGCTAATGTAACGACTGACATAAATGACCACGTAGGATGATTCCCAAATGAGACTTAAGGTATCCAAACTGTGTCAAACTTCTCTTTGTTTAACTTCTTGCATTAAGCGAAATGAAAGAAAAAGAAAGCTAAATTTAAGCGGCATTTTCTTAATTAATTTAATGTAGTCGATGATATATATGTATGTCTGTGTGCTCTCTTAAAATCTCACTATTCTTCGACGAAATTTTCCGCTTTTTTCATTGTTGTCTTTCTACACTAACTCAGCTAATTGTTTTCACTGTCACTGTTATTATCATTATTTGTAAAGCATGCTTTTTTTTTCATCATGTTACTCCGCACCAATTATTATTGGATCATCATCGTAAGACAAAACTGCCAGAAGATGTAACAGTGGTGCTTTGCTATTGTTAACATTTGATTTATTTATTTCTATTTCTGAAATGCTGTCACTCATGTGGTAATGCATTTCTCGTTCAGCCACCATTATTCAAATTCATTGTGCCTTAAAATATCTGAATTTTTCGAATTTTATAATAATTCTTTATGCATTTTTAAATTTAACTAAACTTAAACTTCGTTGTCTTGTTCTTGTTTTCTTATTTCTCCCCACTTTAGGTTTTGATTTCAAAATTTTACTTCTCATCATTTTCTTCTCATATCGTTTTTTTTTCGCTTTTCTTTTTTTTTGTTTCATTTCATCGTTGTTGTTTTTTTTATTCCTACAAATCATTTTGCCAACAGATTCTACCTGCCGTTTTGCTTCTTAATGTTTTCCTTTTCCTTTTATCTATTTTATTATTGATTAACTGTTTGTCATAAATGTTTTCAAGAAAAAAGTCTATAGTTTTCTCCTTTATCATTTCTCGTATTACGAAGAGTGGAAAAAAATTTTTGGTTTTCTTTTTAATTCTGTATCTTAATTATAAGTCTGCACTGTTGGAGTTTTTACGGATGTAAGCAGAAATAAAGGGAAGTTTTTCCTATTCATTCCGCAGTTATGCATATTGATTTTCCAATTACCTTTCTCCTGCTACAATCATTTTATCGTCAGATTTTATAGAACTTGATAGATTTAAAAATGTATTTTATAATTTCTCAAGAAAAATTTTTTTTTATTTTCTTTCACAACAAACGAACAAATTATCAGCCAATAAGTGTCACTTTTCTTAATACCGTAGTTCAGTTTCATTATCAGTATCTTCAATTCAGATTATAATTCATAATTACCTCAAAGTACGCATCTATTAACTGTAAAAATGACTTCCATCATAGTCAAGGAAGCCTTATATGAAATCGAATATTTGTAAAATTATTTTAATAATTTACTGTTATAGATTTGTTAATCTTTTCCTTTTTTTTTTTTTTTATTTTTGATATGAATGGGAATGCCCTATTTCATTCTTCTATCTAAACATTAAAGTTATAATAATAAAGTCTGTTTCAATTTTTTTTTTTTCAAATTAACAAGACATTTGATTATTTGTAATTTACCTGAACAAATATGAATGGGAAAAATTTTCAAATCAAGAAATCCAGTTTATTTTTTTTCCGTCACAAATTAAATATTACATATACGATAATTTCGAATCTTAAAAATATTAACAAATGAAGACATACATATGTTAGACAATAATATATTTCATATACAATCAAACAATGCATTCCTTCATCATTAATTATTCATAAAATATTGGTAAAGATGAATAATAAAGTAGAAGAAAAAAAAAAAAAATCAGTACGCAAAGTAATAAAGGCAAAGAATCATTTACGCATGAACGAATTCCATATAAATACATCAATAGATGAATAATACATTAGAAATGGTAGATATATGTATTTGTTAATTTACGTGAATGCATACGTATATATAATTACGTGTAAACATAGTTATGTTAATTATCATAAATATATTGAAACGTAAAGAAATTCGTATTTATTCATCCTAAAAGTAGGATGTTAGCTGTAAAACTAATTGAATATTAGCAAGCTGGAATGTAACATTTAGTATATATATAGCAATAATGATAATAATTGTTAAGGAAAATGAAAATGAAACACGTAATTTGATTATTAGCT